TGCTTAAAAGTATATTGAAGTATGATATGAAATCTGGTACAAAGTTGGAACAGGTTTCATAACATGTTTCAATTCAGGGAACCAGGTCGGGGAACCAGGTTCACTGTACGAAATATTCGAGCTGCCGTTTTGGAAAAAGATTTTACAAAAAGATTTTTTCGAAAAGATTATTTTGAAAATATTTTGTGCAGCAGGAAATAAGATGAAATATTCTTGGTTACCTAAAAACTAGGAGTATTTATCTTAATTGATTCTATCTTTGTGATTAAATCAAATAAGATAAATACTTTCCTAAAATTACAATATATCTTATTCTCTAAGATTGTGTGATTTAAGGAAACTAGGTTTTAGGAATCTAAGCTTATATAAACTCATCTTATTTCACATATTTCGTGTGCCTCTCCAGAAATTAAAAAGAGCAATTATTTGAGAGCATATACTTAAGCACTAATCCCATTCATCAAGTCATATACAAGAGCATTCTAGTACAAAAACATTTTCTCTTAATTAGCTTCGTAGAAGTGAGATCAAAGGAGAGTTCTTGATTCTTGTATTGAGTCTTTAACAAAGGGGTTAAAGGCTGGGTGAGTGTTTGTGAGTTCAAACACATTGGGCTTACGAGTGTAAGTCGAGAGCACACTCGGAGTAGAGTGTGGGGTAGACTGGTTCCCGGAGTAGGGAAACAGTAGAGTGTTCTTTGTCTTTGTTTTTCGGAGTAGATTAATAAAGGACTTAGGATAGGAGGACGTAGGCCTGAGTTGGCTGAACCTCGTTAAATTTGTTGTGTTCTTTATTGCTTTGTTTTATTCCGCTGCATAAGGGAACCAGCACAACTGGTTCCTCACACATAGTCCGAAAAGAAGCAAAATTAGCCAATGATTACTTAACACTCAATTCACCCCCCCCCTCTTGAGTGCCCATTGAACCTTCAGGTTATAGTTCGATTAAGATCTTGACCGACTCTGCCTCACTTGTCATGTCCTTTAGAATTAACGTGTCATCCTTAAAGTTGATAGGACGGAAGTCAATCGGCCTTACCTAATAGTAAATCAGTCCCGGGTTACCTTTAGTAATTTCTCGGTTCCTGTTGTTTTTGATGTTTTTTAGGTTTCCTTTCCTTTTTTTTCCTTTCTATCTACTGTTGAAATTATAACAACATTTTTTTTACAAAAAATAAGTAGGGTCAATTAACCCCATTATCTTGAACATAGATCCGCCCCTGCTTGATGGTATCTACTCGCTGATCCTCACCATAGTCATCAATAATATTAGGGGTAGGAACAAAAAGTTATGTTATGTGATGTTGTTGAGTCTTGGGTGTTGGCCCTAAAATGAGGTATCGCAGTTGGACTTTTTGTATTCAAAAACAATTTAAAATGATTAAAATCGACAGTATAACTCAAGATCTTCACAATACTTGTATGTAGTTCATCTAAATTAGAATCAAAGTAATATTAAAAATAACTCGCGAAATAACTCAAATTAAAAAACATGCAAGATATAATATTGTTGAAATTCTAAGAACAAAATCAATCTCACAATTAAAGAAACCATCATTATTATTAATACATAGCATGTATAGTGATCTAACTTAATTACCTTTAAAGGGTAAAATAGTAAAGTCATTATAGCAAGTAACTTAGGTTTAATTTTATTTTTATGGAGAGAAAAATAGTTAAAAGCGAAAGAAAAGAAAAAGAGGTTAGGTATTACTAAGGAGAGAAAAATAGTTAAAAGTATGTTACTCATTTTAACTAAATTGAAAGCTTCCTTTTCCTCTTTTCAAATCTAAACTCCTAAAAAACAATATAAAAAATTTAAAAGTCCAAGTACCTACGAAATGAAATTTTTTTTTTTAAAAAAAAAATTCAATAATTCTTTTATTAGGTAAAGGAGCACATGTTCCCTTCTAGAAGAAAGGCAAATAAATTAAAGTTTATGCTATAAATAAATATTTATATTCCTCACTCCATTTCATTTCCTCTAGAAGACCTATCTACCGATACTTCGTACTTTGTATTAGTGTTTGGTAGGTAAAGTAGGTGCTATTCATCTACTCTTCACTTCATTTATAATAGTATACAATTAAGATTAGATGTTAAATAATTAATATGCTATTAATAGATATTCTATGTTCTTTCACAGGAGAAATCAAGTCTATCATTTTTGTATTTTCAAAAAAAAAAAAAAAAAAAACAGAAATGTCTTCCAATTTTGAATATCTAAGAATAATTAGAAACATTATTGTATGACGATTAATTACTATTGGTATATATTTTACAATTGTAAAATTAACTCAATTTTACTGAACATCGATGATAAAATGTTTATACTGTATATATTTAATATAATATATATCAATGATGATTTACATAATTGTCTGTTTTTTTTTACAAACCTTCTCATTTGTATATCGAGGGTAAAGTTCGAGCGGTAAACTCTCTTTAAAAATATGAACGATTAGATACGCTAGCATCAAGTTGTGATATGTTTTGTGATGTACTTATCACTACGCACTATACATAAAATCGCAATCAATACTATACTCTAAAATTAAATATAGTGGGAATTTATGTACGTAATGTGCATAAATGTTATAATTTAGTCAAGAATTTATGAGTTATATGAGAAGAGGCATGAAGGTGGTTGTCTATGTTGACGTGTTCTACCTACCCAACAGCAGAAGCAGGCGTTATATTTGCTTGATTGTGTGTTGGTTCTTTCAATACAATACTACAAAATATCAAATGTCTAAAAGACTGACCTACCAATAAACATTTCTGGTATATTTGCTACAATTAATAATATCTAATTATCTATGCCATAATTTTAATTGGGGAGTATTCTTGAAGAGTTGTATTTTTTCCTCATTATTTTGTAATTAGGTAATAATCATGATATGATAAGTAAGCTAAAGCTAGTCATAACCACGTTAATTAGTTCAGGTATAAATGTGCAGAATAGTTAACTTTTTAAAATTTGTTTATCATCCATCTTTACATATTGGTATGACCTCCTATTATCGAAGTGAAAATTAAACTTATATTTATATTTACACAAACTATTGGGTGCGGACTGTCCTTTCCTTTTCAAACACAACTACCCATTCATTTCAATTCTCAAAGAAAATTGGGATTTTAGGGCTCACAATTCACAGAACAACATCATTATGCTTGAATCAGCCAACCAAATCGAAAAAAATGATGCATTTTCTGATTGAACCGAAAACCCCTCAAAACGAAGATGACGATGACGATGACTTTGCGGTGCGATGGTTGGTGGTGCAGTGCGGATTGCGGCTGGTGATGCGGTGGTTGGTGGGTTCGGTGGTTGGCGATTTGCGGCTGGTGGGTTCAGTGGTTAGTTGGTGGGTTCGGCTGGTGATGCGGTGGTTGGTGGGTTCGGTGGACGGTGGGATCAGTGGTGGCTTGAGGATTTGTGGACGGTGGTTGATTTTATTTGTTTGTTGTTAATGAGAAACCCCGTTCTCATTTGAAACAGAGAGAAAGAAAGAGAGGAAGAGGGGGAAAGAGGAGAGAAAAGGAAATAAAAGTATATTGTATGTTGTTAATCATATGAGCCAACAAATGACGCGTATCAACTAATAAAAGGAACATATCAGCCAATTAATGTCTGATATCAGTCAACATTAGGGACATATCAAACATTAATAAAAACGTATCAATCAACAAATGAAACATATCAACCAACAAAAGGAACATATCATCCAACAAAAGATACATATCAGCCAACAGAAAGAACATATCAACCAACAAATGAACCATATCAGCCAACAAGAGGATGAAATCAGCAAACAAAAGCAACATGTAAGTCAACAAAATAAACACATTAGCCAACAAAATGAAACATATAAGCCAACAATTAAAATATACATATCAGCCAAAAAAATTAAGATATCAACCATCTAAAGAAACTTATCAGTCAACTGATGTCTAATAGCAGCCAACAAAACAAACATATTAAACATTAAAAAAAAACATATCAGCCAACAAAAGAAATATATCAGTCAACAAAAAAAAACATATAGGCCAACAAATGAAACATATAAGCCAACAAATAAAACATATAAGCCAATAAATGAAACATATCAGCCAAGCCTGTCATACGCATAATTTGCGTACGACAGTTCGCACACAATACCTTCTCTTATATTAATGGGCATCATTTTAAAAAAGGCATAAGGAGATATTATATATTGATTTAATTAATTATTTACATACTAAAGTAGATCCTTATATGATACTCCCAAACTATAATTTATAACTAGATTTGAAGATAATCTTAAAAAAATATTCATTCTAACAACTAATATCATTGTTAAACACTTAAACTTGTATATTGGTTCACTTTACAAGATTATTTTGTAGTATTGGTGTGTTGACTGAGAAATTATTAACACACCCAAGGCATCTCAACGTGTTTTCATGCATGGGAGCATTTCACAAGTTAAATATAGATTTAAGAGTCATAATACAAACATTTAATTAATATTTACATTTTATTTGTACAAGAAAATTTTTTGTCACGTTTTTAAAATAGAACTCTAATAATTGTTCTGAATTACAAGTTAAAAAACTATTTAAAAATCTTTGATTAAGTTAATTTCTCATCTACCACTACTTAATTCAATGATATAATGTTATAATAGAATCGTATCATGGATGTCATTGTTAAATTAAATTATAACGATTATAATGTTATCTTCTACTACCTACTTATAAAGATTTTTCAAATGAAGAAAGGTATACTAGTTAGGGCTTTTTTATAAGAGCATCTAGAAACTAATATATTCACGTGGTACAAGCATATATCTAGACAGTTTGATGATTATTACCACGTAAAACGACTATAATACACACTTTCAATTAGACTAGATAAATTTCCATATATATAAAAAGTTTTACCAACCCAGCTATCTATAAGGGAAAATATAATTTATACAACGTTAGATATCAACCTAATAAGTCATCTTTACTTTTTTCTAAATTGAAGGCAAAGAAGGAAATTAAATTGATGACCTAAATGAATGAGTATGACTATTGTGCTAGTCTACTCATTATTTGTTTATTCTCTATTACTCTCTAATAATGACGTGAGACATATATACTCAAATAATCTAGAAGTAGTTATATATGGAGACTGTTATATACTTAAAAAAAAAAAAAAAAAAAAAAAAAAAAAAAAAAAAAAAAAAAAAAAAAAAGTGTTATGAGTAACAACATTCAAAAAAATTTACCAACTAAACTATTAATCGTGATTACAATATCTAATATAACATGAAATACAATATTCGTAAGTGAAGCCACCCCAATTTTGCAACTTAAGTTAAATAGTTCTTAAGCCACATTATCATATATGAAGCAATAAAAAGTTCTAAATAATGTTTGTGGATTAATCCTTGAATTTGATTCATATTTGACCACTATTACACATTGCTGCTGTTGCAGTTGTAGCCAATGTCATAGCACAGTGACACTGCTGGTTACCTTTATTTTGAAACCCTAAATTATAACACAAACATACACTTCCCCCTTTAGTAAAAACGGGCAAACTGGTGGCCGTCCCAATAACCTGGTATCTTGTCGTGTATTATTGTTGTTGTTGTTGTTGACTCGTCGTAGTTTCATGACTAGCCGAATTAATCTTGGGTGTGGTAGGAAGGCTAATAGATAATTCGAGGTTAATTTCTTTGTAACCTTCTTCCATGGTCACAACACTATTACTACTACTATTATTAGAATGTTCACTAATATTATTGTTGAACGTTCTACTAATAGGAAGAGTAGTGCAATAGTATTTTCCATCGTTACTACTTGTTGTAAACTCGTACTCGAGATTTGATCCTAGGCCAAAATGTAATGTTGAACCTTGTACATTGATCAATTGGAAAGTATTATTGTTGCAATTCGTCTTATTTTTGTTGTAGCAATTATTATTGCTTACAACGTTCCTTGTTGTAGCACATGTGTTGGTAGTGTTGTTGGTTATGGCGGCCGTATTGGTAGTGGTGGAATTTAGCGTACGGTGAGTTTGCGGGTCGATTCCGCGATTAAGAAGCTTTCTTTTGATGTAGGTGTTCCAATAGTTCTTAATCTCATTATCTGTTCTTCCTGGTAATTTTGCAGCAATTAAAGACCACCTGAAATCCAACACACAAATAAATAAATATAAATAACATTTATGAGTTTAGCAACTCAAGAGAGCTGGAATAGCTCAGTTGGTTAGAGCGTGTGGCTGTTAACCACAAGGTCGGAGGTTCGACCCCTCCTTCTAGCGATATTTTTACGCGTTTGTTTAATAATATTTCCATCATTTAAATTATTGTATAGACTGTTCTTTACAAATTCCTTTTTTTTTTTTTTTTTTTTCTCTTAAAATGTGATGTAGCTACAAATTTAAAATAATACAAAGTACTTAATTTATGTATAAAAGACCATTTAAAAGGTTGATTATTGAATAATGGGATTGGATTTTTTTTTTTTTAATGAAATTGTAAGGAAAGAAAATGCAAAACATACTTATTCCCAAGCAAGCTATGAAGGTTAATTATGAGTTCATCTTCTTCGTCAGTGAAATTTCCTCTCTTAAGATCTGGTCTAAGATAGTTTATCCATCTTAATCGACAACTCTTTCCACATCTTTGTAAACCTGAAAAACAGTTTACAAAAAGAATGTTAGAATTGTACATATACACTTGTGTATAAGCTAAGAGGTTTTCAGAAACAAATTTGTTCGAAATATTTAGTAGCATAATTAATCAACATTTAGACTCCATAATAATATGTACATCATATTAATCATATCATTAAGAAGGGGTAATTTCTGAAAATTTTGCCATCATTATCCATAAATTACATTGGCATATTCAATAATATTATGTAATGGCCGGGTTAGTTGATTAACCGTTGTTAAATTTCTGTCTTACCCACGTAAAAATGCTACCATTTGTGTAAAAAGAAACTCTAATTAATCATAATTTATTAATATTTAAACTATTATTCAAGAACAAGCCTGGATAAATTATTCTAAACACTCTTAATTACAACAACTCTAAGTAGCTAGGCAAATAATTTATTTTTTTTATTTACTAGAGAATAAGCAACTAATAACTTTACCCCATTGGTTCATAGTTTACACCTTTTTCATAATTTTTAAGAAAGCACTATCGACGGTCTTTTATGGAACTTCTAAATAAGAGTGCAAACGTAAATTATAAGCATATCTCTCGCATGTATTTTGTCAACAATATTCTATGTAATTTTGATACCACCAATATAATTTAACTATAAATTTAAATTTAAAGTTTTTGTATGGAGAGTTAATAACATCTATCTTGCTATTGATCTCCCAAAAAAAAAAAAAAAAAAAAAAAAAAAAAAAAAAAAAAAAAAAAAAAAAAGGAAGTGATCATTTAAAGCTTGTAGAGCTTGATGATCATACCCACAAACAAGGAATAGAGAGAAAAGGAAAATCAATAAAGATGCATGTATGGTACATGATAGATCATAGAGCATAGCTCCATGTATCATGCTCTTTATTTGGTAGGTACGTAGATGAACTATTTACAAATTAAAACTAGACTTGATCTTTAATTTCACACAGGTCGAACCATTTCAACTGATCGAACATATCCTATAACTTCAAAACCATAACTTATAGGAGTTAATTTAAGCCTATACTATGATTTTTAAGGTTGTGAATAGTAAAGCTCCTACCAACCACACCGAGCTTCCTTAGTTACGAGTAAAATAAAAACGTGTTGAAAGATCAGAATGATTTATTACCGGCAGCTTTCGGAAGTGACCTCCAACAACCTTCACCATTAGCTTTGATATAGTTCATGAGATGCTCATCTTCTTCTTTAGTCCATGCACCTTTGTTCGTATGTTCTTTCTCACAACATGGAGATCTACCCATATTTTCTTCCTCCTCTAACTAATTAAGCTAGTTTCTTCTTCTAATTAAGTACTAATGAACCTATCTTTTCTAGTGTATTTCTAGGGATAGAGAATAAAGGGTGTTTTTAGAGAATATAAATGTTGGGTAAGGGATGAATGATGTATAGGAAAAATATTTGTGGTGGGTCAATTGACTTAACATTAAAAATCCAACCATATAATATATGATATATAAATATATATAATGGAGAGTATGTAATTTTGACTGAGTTGGTAGAGAAAAAAGAGGACTATTGGTTTGCAATTAAGTTAGTGCTGGATTTGGTAGGTAGCCCTACTTTTTTTATGTAGTTGTGAGTTATTTCTCTGGTTATTATATTTTATTATATACTTTTTTATGGTATGAGTAATCTATGGTATAAAATTTAATTCATTCCGTTGTACCTAAACTTCCTTCATTTAAGTTGTCCCATGTGTTTGTACTTTCTAATAATTAATTGCCTCCCCTGAATTTCCTCATGGATGGATGACCAAAATTCTTCAATTTATCATGAGTGTATGATGTGGATTAAACCACAATAAGGAATACACGGTTAAACCTAATTCAATAAATTATGATCTTTTCGACTCAAACAAAAAGAAAAGCAACGTAAATTTTGATGTTTTTGAAAGAAAAGTAACGTTTTGAAATCAATTCGATTCACTCGAACTGATAGAGTATAAAAACATATTCCTGAGCTTCAACTATAAGCTTAACCTTTTGGTTGAATTGATCCGTTAATATGGTATCGGAGCCAGCGTGAAACAAAGGTCACGGGGTCAAATCTCATCCACCCCCTACTTTCAAGTGGAATATTTCACACAGGGTATGCGGAGGGGCCACGCAGCATCCACATTTCATGCCCAAAGGGCTCTCATGTGAGGGGGCGTGATAGAGTATATAAACATAATCCTTGGCCTCAACCATAAGGTTAAGCTTTTGGTTGAGTTGGTCCTTTAACACGAACTAACTCACAATTTTTATGTTTTTCATAAACTCAAGGACATTCTAAATTCTCATTAATGAAAACAAACATTTATAGGCATAGAGTCTCATGCCTGATAGGATGAACAAACCTAAAAGATAAAATAAATTCCTAACAAACTCTAATTATATCTTATAAAAAGATAATTCTTCCTAATCTTTATCCTAAATCATATGAATACGATAAAATAAATCCTAAAGAAAATAAATCTAGTCTCCTAAATTCTTGATGCTTGATCCGCATCAGTGTAATACAAATTAAATTAGGAATTGCAACCTAAGGGTTGCCTATAAAATTCTAAGGAAAAGAAAAAAAAACAGAAAAAAAAAAAAAACAAAGCTCTAGAATAAGTATTTATATAAAATATATTTAATGTTTATATGCAATCTGATGCGAGAGCATCAACAGTACTTTTGACAATATTTGACTAATGCTGACTCGATTAAGACCGCAAAATAGTTGGGTTTGATTTGAATTATTTGGATGATTTTCCTCATATGTGGGATGCAACTTAGGTTGCATTAATTTTAGTTATTATCTTGTAATTAATCCTAACCTTTCATTTTTGTAGGGTTTAGATTTAATGAGGTTTAGGGTTTTATTTCATGTATTAGTGCCTCCTTATAAAAGGAGTTATTTTATGATGTAAAAGAGACTTTGTTGATTATTGAAATATAAGAGTTTTTCTCCTTTGAGTTCTTTGTGATGATCTCTCATTTGTGGTAAAATCTCAATCATTTATCAAACTTTGTGATTGATTAGATTGAAACCCTTGTTTTATTAGACTGTGTGACTAGTAAATCAAGTTATTTTGCTAGATAGTCTTACTTAGTGTTTGATTATTTAAGCTTGTTCTATTAGATCTTGATCCAAAATCATATCTTTATTTGCTTTTCACTCAAAAACTCACAAAATATCCTCAAAAATTGATCTTTATTCATCTTTCATATCACAATCTTAATTAAATGTTACAAATATATCATTATCCTCAAATTATGTTGTTATTTAGTAATTATTTATTAACTTAGTTGCTATAAATCGAATAACGATTGATTTGATTGTATGTATAAATTTTTCATTGAGTAGAATTCAATGAAAAATAAACTTATGCTAATAAATATTTCCTACAATCAATCTCATTCGTTTTAGTTCCTATTTTCATCTAAAATTCATTTTATTTATTTTTCTCTCACAAATTTTTTATTTAAAATAACAAATTAAAGTGAGGCCGAACTTAATATCCCTAACTAATAAATACATTTTAGCAATTACGCAGTCCTTTTTCACTTTGTTTTGCCTCTCTTTGGAAGTATTCTTAATAATCTCTTTCATATAAGGAAAGCCTCTTAATAGTTGGACTTTTATTCAACTTTAGATGGATTGGTAGAGGGCAATTTAATTTTCGAAAAAAAATTGGGGGAGTTGAACTTACGGTGAGTCCAATATATCTGACATTAATAATCTAATATTTAACATGAGAAATATATTAGATAATGTCAGATATATTGGACTCACAATGAGTCCGGTCTCACGCAAAACGTTATCTTTTAATTTTTCTTTCCACTAGACCCTAGCCTAGATACACCAGTCTAATGCTTGAATTAGTAACTTACATTTTTTCAAGTCCTAAAACAAACGAACATATGGCATTTTGTGGAAGTTCCATGGATGTGTGATTCCTAATATTATCTTGACCGAGCTTGTGCAATTTCCATAGGTAGGATACTTTGTTTTTTGGCTTTAGAGAGAATAAGGGATCAGAAGATCATGTAGACGCGATTTAATTGTAAGAATCAATTAACCAACTAATCTAATTACCAATCAATATATGTAAGATAACTTTGATAAAATTGATCAATTCTGCTCATATATGCCTGTTAAATCACTTCCATATGTTTATAGGGAACATGCATTAAAATTGATTATCAGCTACAATAACAATTCAGCCATACAATACTTATTAGCAACGTAAAGTACGTAACCACAAATTTCACAATACATAAAGCACCAATGTACTTAAAAATCACTAATCACTAATACTTGCATATATAGTTGCATATAATCTAAATTAATATCCTCATTTACCTATAATTCCTGGTTATGACGTTAAATTTGACAATGCTCAACTTTTCTAACATCACATACAACGTATTTTCAACATTGAAACCCTCTATTTCTTTCTTTCGAGTCCCACTAGTCGCATAGTCCCTATATGCATTTTTTTGCATATAGGAGGGCAAAAGTGGAAAAGCGCTGAGTCTTGACATTCAAAATAGTACTTTTTATGGTTCTAATGGTACATTTTTTGTATTATTATGCATGTATATTGTACCATTATGTCTTAGTAGTACTATTATATCTCACAATGGTATAATATTTTGATATACCATTTACATACTTATTTGTACTATTAGCATAATATTTATATCATTACAACATTTAACGGTACTATTTACCTATTAAATGCTACTTTATATTCCCATTACAACTTCAACTTTTTTACTACATTGCCATCCTATATGCAATATTTGCATATAGGAGCTATGCGCCAGATATTCTCCCTTTCTTTTGTCACCATGCATGCGTATAAATACTTCATTGATTGGACCACAATATTAATTATATAATTGGGGAATTATATAATAATATATTTCCTTAAAAAATTAAAGAAAAAAATGAGGATATTGAATCATGGCACTATAACAAGTTTCTCCTGCTGCACCAATGCACAGTGGTTGGTTGGTTGCTCCCATTCAAAGAAAATGACATTTTTACACGTTATATTAGTGGAGTTTTCTTGATTTCATCATCTAAACCAACAATAATCACTTTTTGCTTGTGGACAAAATTTTTGAAATGTTTTATTAGTAGTAATAATAATTTGAGTAAGGCGAAATAGCTAACATGTTACGATATGTCTTCATAAGTAATTTTCACTCAATAAAATAATTGAAGAAATTATATTAATTAGTGTTTCAGTAAATTCCTATCACTATTACATAATCTACGTACTTCAAGTTATTTATTTATCTAATTATTTTTATTTTGGTAAATCACAAGACATTCGATAACTAATTCGTAAGCTACATGATTACATGTAAATATTTTAAAATAGATTATAGCGCCAACCATAGCCTGATCAACTTATTTAATTAATTAGTTTCTAGAAGGTCAGAATTAATTAATTATTAGACAAGAATCAATTAGCTTAAGGTAGGTAAACAACTTTCTTTTTTTTTTTTTTTTTCAAGTCCATAGTTTTAATTTTCATGGTTTGATCAGCAAGAGGAAGTTGGGACTATATCGTGGCTCGTGGGCCATAATTATATATGGACCTTATAATATAACAATATGATAATAAATCATGTCCCCTCCCTTTTTTTATTTTTTTTTTTGTTTTTTTTTTTCCTCCCATGAGTTCTAGTACATAGTAGCCTTTATGACTTGCAAATTAAAACATTACATATGATTTATTTTTTTCCCCTTTCTTTTTGTATATAATTAATGTATCTTCTTATATGAGATTCTTTTGACTTTGAAATTACTCAAATATAGTGTAAGTGGAATTGGCATAGTGGAGAGATTTTGTTGAAATGGGACCAAATGTCTTAGTTATGGTACATGGATGGAGGAGGAATCCCTTAAAAATTGTTTTTTGGATGATATATCTTTGTATTGGGAGAGTCTACAGTACATGACAAATACCACCATATACTGTAAATACTATATATTATTAAATTATATATTATTTTTTTTGAGAAAACGCCGAGCTAGATTTAATTAATCAAGGGACAAAAGAGTCCGAGAGCACATATGGAGAAATCTCCATACGACAATGGTTGACCCAAACTAGTTCACTCCAAACGACACTAATCTAGCAAGGTGATGAGCTACATAGTTGTCATCCTTTCTAACATGAGACCAAATAAAAGAAGAAAAATTACTACTTAAAGACAGAATATCTTCTATAATAATATCAAACTCCGAAAAATAAATTGCAGCTTTAGAGAGGCGATTAATAAGCACTTGACAATCCAATTCGAGGATAACCTTCTCATACCCATATCTTCTTGCGAGCTTCACTGCTAAAAGAAGAGCCCTCCCCTATTTCAACTGGCCAGTGAGCTCTGACCCTGCGAGTTGCCGAGAAAAGAACCTCACCAACATGGTTGCACGCCACTACTCCCAACCCAATCCACCCCTCACCGGTTAAACACGCATCAGCGTTCGTTTAACTTGGTCAAGCCAGTCAGGGGAGCAGTCCATCTAGCCTTGCTTTTGGGGGCTTGCGGAGTCAGAAAATTATAGACCATAGCGTTGTACTTCCCCACTTCCTCGATCATCCTGTCAAGTCTAGCCATAAGAACATCTGTTGGTGTTTTCCTCCCATTGAACACTCAGGAATTGCGCTCACCCCAAATCAGCACACCAAGATTGAGGCACGCTGTTGCTTCTTAACATGAGCAGCCTTCCACCTCACCAACAGATCGAGCCAGTTCTGTCTTCCAGCAAATCCACTAAACCACTAGCATCCCACAGGTCTTTCGCACGCTCACATTCAAACAACACATGTGAACTCGATTCATCTTCCTCACCACACCGTGGACACACCGCATCTTCCTCGCCAGTGGCGAGCCTTAAGTAGCGTTTTTGTAGGCAAAGTATTGGTGCACATTCTCCATAAAAAATGTGGAACCTTAGGAGACACTTTCATCCCCCATATTTTCACCCACGCAAGATGGAAGGTGTCAAAATTGCACCCCTTCCCAAGCATATATGAGGTTTTAGCCGAATATAAACCATCCTTCGAGAATGCCCAAGTGATAACATCGCCAGGAGCACATGAGCTCAAAGGGATGGATAAAATACAATTTTGGTCCCTCTTATTGAACAGAGAACCAATTAAATTTACATTCCATTCCTCCATGTTCTCAAAATCAACGAGATCACTAACCTTAGATATGTTTTCCGACACCTCTGATGTGATGAATCGACCTTCCGCATCAGCTACCCACGGATCATTCCATATGTTCACTAACGTGCCATTTCCTATCCTCCAAATCATACCCTCCTTAACTAGCGCTTTAGAGCTCCATATACTCCTCCAAGAGTAGCTCCCCCCATAACCCAGATGCGAATCAAGAAAAGAGCAATTAGAGTAGTATTTCGCTTTCATTACTCTACTAAGCAAAGAGTCCTCCATATGCGTTAATCTCCATGCTTGATTCCTTAAAAGAGCATCATTAAAGATTTCAATGTCCTTAAAACCCATTCCATCCAAGCATTTCGGAGTACTCATAACCTCCCACGACTTCCAGTGAATTTTTCGCTTTATATCTTTTTGACCCCAAAAAAATTTTTCCATGGTTGATCGAATGCTACTTGTCACAGAGGCTGGTAATTTATACACTCCCATCAAGTACGTCGGGATTGCTTGATTTACAGCTATGAGTAAAATTTCTTTCCCGGCTCTAGACAATAATTTCTCCTTCCAACCTTGTAATTTCTTCCAAATTCTGTGAGTAAGAGCACAAAAAATAGCCTTTAATTTTTTGATCTCCCTGCTAGTGTCGAAATACCAAGATACTTGCCATGTCTGTCAACCTGGCGCATATTAAGCAAACCCATCAACTCACTCTTCCGCTCGACGCTAACTCCTTTGCTAAAAGAGACTTCCGATTTCTCTTAATTAATTTTTTCTAATTAGATGCTACTTCATATTTGTTGAGTATATCCACTATAGCTTCACATTTTCTCCGGTTAGCTCTTGTAAAAAGTAAACTGTCATCGGCAAATAAAAGATGTGAGATAACAGGACCACTCCAACTAGCTTTGGCCCCATGAATTTCTCGGTCCTGCACTTAATTATTAAGCATATGAGAAAAATCATCAGCCACCAGAATAAACAGATACGGAGACAAAGGGTCTCCTTGCCGGATCCCCCTGGAAGGAAACACCGACCCATACACTCTTCCATTAATGATGAAAGAGTAGGAAACCGTCGTAACACAATTCATCACCAAATTCATCCATCTGCCATCAAAACCCATCGTAAGAAGAAGCTTCCTTAGAAAACCCCATTCAACCTGATCATAAACCTTGCTCATATCACGTTTCAAAGCAATTGAGCCTTTCCGACTCCGACTTCTCTTTTTCATGGTGTGAAACAACTCAAGTGTAATCAAAGCATTATCTGTGATAAGTCTCCCTGACACAAATGCACTCTGATTTTCCGTCACTATATCAGGAAGGATATGCTTAAGCCTAAGTACAATGGTTTTTGGCACCAATTTATATAAAACATTACAAAGGCTTATGGGTCTAAATTCTGACATCACAATAGGTGATTTCACTTTCGGGATCAAAGCTATATTAGTATAATTAATAGTATTCAGAGAAGAACTATTATTAAGCATAGTACTAACAAATCTATAAACATCATCACCAACAATATGCTAGAAACGCTGATAAAAAATAGCATGCATACCATCCGGTCCTGGTGCCTTACATGGGTGCATCTGTTGGAGAGCCGAGAAAATTTCTTCTTTTGTATAAGGGCGAAGCAAGTCTGCATTCTTCTCTTCCGGCATAACTTATTTCACATATTGCAAAACTTCATTAATATCCGTAGCTCTTGGGTCAGACGAAGTGAAGAGTTTGGAGTAGTAGTTGCTCACAATCTTTTCCAATTTCTTCTTGTCATCCTGCCACTCTCCATTCTCATCCCTAAGCCCATCAATTGTATTTCGTTTCTTCCTTTGAGAAGCTTTGTGATGGAAATAACTTGTGTTCTTATTCCCATCACAAACTTCCAACTCCCGAGATCGAAGAAACCAATATGCCTCATGCTTACGGTTCAAATCATCCAATCTAGCTTCAACAATTTTCATACAAAATCAGTTGGTTTAGCACCTCTCTAAGAGCAGTATCAATGTCTGCAATTTTAATCCCCAAGTCATCTTAACCCTTTTATTTTATTTTTCTCACGTTTTTTCTAGTTTATATTGTTCTCTGCTCTGTCATTCTGCCTACCTCCTTTGCTTATTTTCATTTATCACAATTAAAGCTTGAACCAAAATTGTAATTTGAGGTTAACATTATTCAACGGCTTTAATTTGAAGATTCAGTTGAGGCAATCTATAAGGTTGGGTTGGTTTTTTTTTTTTTTTTTTTTTTTTTTTTTTTTTTTTTTTTTTTTTTTTGTAAGGTAGGGTTTTAGAGGTAGGGAGTGTATAATTTTCAATATCGTCTTTTTGTGTATTTATTTTGGATTGAATTTCACTGTATTTTTAATCATTTTCCTTTTTTTAAAGAAAAAAAAATCATTTTAATGAAAAAAAACGTTTAATGAAAAATCGTTTTTAAACTATTAATTTTTTTTTAGAAAAAATAGTTTTTAAAATTTTTAAAAATTTACCTACCCTTTCACTTTTAAACTATATTTATAAAAAAAAAAAATCCCCTTGTTTCTAGCTGTTTGGTAGCAATTTTTAGAAAAAAAAAAAATCCCTTGTTTACTAAAAAAAATTTTGTTGGGTAGCTTTTATTTTATTTTATTATTCTTTCTTTTCATATTTCCTGATTTATATATTTTTATGTTTTAGAGTTTAGGGTGATAATAAATTTACGTAAAAGTGATAACAAATTCAAATTACTTTTTTTAAAAAAATTACCCTTTATACATATATTAAGTGAAAATAAGATAAATAGATTGTCCAAAAGTGAATGTTATATTTTCTTATTATGTTTTTTCACATGAAGTCACCTTTTTCACGTTAATTGTTGGATCTCACATAAATATGACTTTTTTTGTTCTTCTTATCTATAAATCACAAAATTTATTCAAAGTAGAGCTTGTGCAAATATCGTACAAAGTCAAAAACATGTCTTTAATTTGGAATGGAGAAATTAGGAAAAAAGGAGTAATAGGGACAAGTAAAAACATGTCATATAGATGGAGTATCGATTTTTCAATATAAGGAATACAACCGAAATGACTCCTGCCAGATAGCCGCCCCTGTCTTTCTTTCAGAACCTCGTAGTGGACGGAAGAAAAAAAGGAAGTTTTACAATAGGGCAAAAAAATTTCATTTGTTATAAAAGAATTGACACAATAAAACCTTGCACATGTTAATATACTAGTTTGACTTTATTTATATATAATTAAATATTAATATAAATAAAAAAAAAGAAGTCATATTATAAAACTTTATATCAATGTCTATGTAAGTATGTAACAACACATCATCTCATTAAAAAAAATGTCTTAATTACGTTAATAAAAAATAGTTATAGTTACACATATAAAGAGTGAAAAAAGGTTCAACAAGTAAGTCTATGACGGAAGCTATAGTTTTCATTAACTTTTTACTATTTTTAGTAATTTTAATGGTCAACATTATGCATTGAAAACCATAATAAACGTAAATAGAAAGTATTTACACAATTGAGAAAATGCTCAATTAAATTATTTACCTTTTCTTTTTTATTCTTATTTTGTAAGTTACATAACATAGAATAAATAAAATTGAGTTTACAAGAATGAGTAATTATAACTTTGGTGGATCTAATATATTGAAAAGGATTCAAAATTGATAAGTATTTTTATATATAAGTAGTCCTACAAGCTGAGTAATCTAAATAGGTTGTATGATGTAAGCTAAATCAAACAAGTATTTGATACCTTTTTGAAGGTAGTCTAGAGGGAAAAAATGGATGTACTAAATTGAGAAGGATTCAAAATTGATAAGTATTTTTGTATATAAAGTAGTCCTACAAGTAATCTAAATAGGTTGTATGATGTAAAATAAATCAAACAAGTATGTGATATTTCTTTTTGAAGATAGTATAGAGTGAAAAGAATGTATCTAATAAATTGCGAAGGATTCAAAATTAATAAGTATTTTTATATATAAATTAGCCCAACAAGTAATCTAAAGATGTTGTATGATGTGAAATAAATCAAAAAATTTCAAAATATGAGAAGGGAAAAAAAATATATGTTGAGCACAAAGATTTGATCCTTAATCCACTGATCAAAGCAATAATGCAATTCACCATCTTACCTAAAGTCAAACAATGCTTAAAAAATGCTAAAAATAAATAATATATTTAATTTAATTTAATAGTGGTACATTACGATACATTGCTTTAGTGGTACATAGCGGTACGCGTCATTTACTGTGTATTTCTATAAAGTGGCACAATCAACTAGCCAACTAGTGTAAAGGTAATAATATACATTTTATTATTAATTTTTAATGCTCTCACTCTTTCTAGAAATCCTAATCCTTTACAAAAATATCGATATTAAAAATTTTCCATTTGATGTCTTTAGGATTGGTCTTGTACGCATAAAACTATTACATTTTTTCATTTGCTTTATATTTTTCTCTTTCAACCCTAATTTGCTTCGGTTTTCAAAGTTACTCAAATCAACATTCTCTCTAAAATACATCTTATCGATATTAATTAAGTCACCCACAGCATTTACTCTTAGACTCTTAGGGGCCGTTTGGTTGGGGGTATTCATCAAAGGGAATGGGAATCAACGGGAATAATTCCCTTTGTTGTTGTTTGTTAGGCCACTTTTCCATTTCCCCTTTCCCCCTTCATTCCCCCAAATCCCTCCAAGTTCATTCCCCGCCTCCCCAAAGGTATTTCCATTCCATTCCTAGGCCACCACCACACCACCATACCACCACCCTCATACCTACACACATCACCGGAAAACCGCACCACCACCTACCCTTCGCCGCGCCTCCCCCACCCCTAGCCGACCCTCCCCTCCACCACCTACCCCTCGTCGGCTATCCCTCGAAGACATTCCCTAATCCTGGCCATCCCCTCGTCGCACCGCCTAATACCTAACCCTTCGCCGAAAATCCCCCAGCCGCCCAATACCCCACCATCAAAAACCCTAATCGACCCTTCCCCACCTTCAAAACCGATTGGTTTTTAGAACCATGGCCGCTGATTTTTGCTGGTGGTTTGGGTCGTGGGCTTGGGTTCGATCCGGCGGAAGAGAGGGAGTTGCAGTTGCGTGGAAGGAGGAGAAAGAGAGGAGGATTGTGGTTGCGGTGGCCGGTGGGAGGAGAGTGCTCGGTCAAAGGAGGGAGAGGAAAGGTCGTGGGCGGTGCTGTGCGAGGGGTTGTGCGGCTGCCGGCGAGGGGCTGAGGATGTTTCTAAGGTGGAAAGTGAATTAATTGATGGTTGTGTGGTGGTGGTGTGGTGGTGGGATTGTTTCCCTTTGTTTAAAACAAACAACATAAAGAATATAAGGTATTTTCATTCCATTCTTTTCCATTCCCCTAGTTCATTCCATTCCATTTACCCCGAACAAACCAAACGACCCCTTAGTATATTGTGTGAGTCCAAATTTACTGTGAGGCTGGACAAACAATTAGAGATACATCATACCTGATATTAATACTTTACTTATTGTTATAAAAAAAATTGAGAAGCAGAGGCCCTCGCCCTGCGGGCTGCCATTCTTGTAGCAACCATCGTTTTGGATCCTGCGGAAAAGCTGCGTTCAAACCGGATTCTATCACAATTCATTAAGCCAACTCCAAACACCTTCTTTTCTAGTATCAATATTTCATTAGTTGATGGTAACTTTTTATATTGTTAATATCAATATTTTATATCTGATATCAACAATACTTCAATTGCTTATCAACATTTCAATATCTTATACTAACTCTATTTCTTATTATGTGCAACAAAGAAATATTTTATGTCTCACAAATAATACCCCTTTATTGCACATTATAAAAAACGGAGGTAGTATCAATATTTTGATTTCCAATATAAATACTTCAATAACTTATATTAACCTTTCAAAATATTATATTTACACTTCAATATTTGATATCAACAGTACATTATTTTGTAACAATATTTTAAAATCTTATACTAAAATTATGTGGTTTTGGTGGACAAACTCACGTTGTAATAGACTCACCCAATATTTTATTTTAATTGAATTTATTTCTATTAGAAGTTTCTATGAAATATAGGAAATAATTTAATCTAATTTTTTAATATGATAATCCCTCTGTTTCTACTTGTCAGTTGTCACAACCTCCAGAGTTCCAGGGCAATATTTTAATTAAAAAATCTCAAGTTATATATATATATATATGTATATATATATATATGTATATGTATATATATATATATGTATATGTATATGTATATGTATATGTATATGTATATGTATATGTATATGTATATGTATATGTATATGTATATGTATATGTATATGTATATGTATATGTATATATATATATATATATATATAAAGGGGAGTATTTTCCCGAGTTTTTTAAAGCACCACGTAGGATTTTAATTTTAAAAAAATTATTAGAGCGCCACTTAGAATTAATATTTCTAAAATGCTACAATCGGATTATGCCACGTAAGATTAGTTTTTTTAAATCGTTACGTAGAATTATTATAAAAAAGCGTCATGTAGGATTGATAATTTTAAAACGTTACAATAGGATTATGCCAAGTAAGATTAATTTTATAGCATCACATAGGAAAATGTTATATTTTAGCCAATGCAAAAAAAGAATTTCAATTT